ATGTTGAAGAATTTGATCCAATAGGCCTATTGATAGAAGGTTTGTGAAGAAACGTCACGCTGCTTTGTAAAAGTATTTTGTAGTATTTTTAAAATACAAAAATACAGTATTTTATTTTGATACATTTTGTGGCTGCTGTATTTTGTAGTTTATTTTGATGCACATAAAATTAAGGTATTTGGTATTTTATTTAAAAATACATGCTGATGTATTTATGCCAATCCCTGCGCATTACTATGGACATACGTTAATACATGGCTGTCAATCAATTTGGTGGTTGGGGAAAACTGCACTCCAATGTCACGTGGGCCTCAAAATGGAAAGCATTTGGATTCTATTTTAACATCAGGAAATAAAAAAAGAGACCTATTGTTTTTATATCACCCCAAAATGACTGTAGACACTCTACACCTACAAACAGTTTCTATCCAAACAGCTTACAAAAGATGATTTTTTTCATCATAGGTGACCTTATGATTAATCAATAAGCTTTCGAAACCTTTTTTTTTTTTTTACCTTATTCATCTGCAGTGTCTTACCATAACTTGCCATCCTTATATCTGCTAACCTAATAGTACGAGTTATGCACACAGATATGAAGGATAAACTGTTGGTCAATCGTCTTTTTTCCATCTTTTATCTTCTTTTGTTGGACTTGTTCTTCTATAGATAGTATTAATTTGCCATTCATTTATATTTTATGAGTCATTTCAGGTAAGCAATATTTCCAGAACTGAAAACACAGCAGCATTAGCCATAATACACTTTGACATTATTGAAACAAACCATACGCAGCAGTTCACTTTAGTTTATGGATTTGAGTGTTTTATCCAAGCACACTAAAACTATGTTATAGTCTATTAAAACATTACCGCGTTTAAAGTATGTCATTGAAAGGCATATAATTTGTACTTTACAATGTAGAGAATGCAGTACAGGAAACATAAAACTTTTAAAATATTGAATTTTCTTTAAAAAAACAAACACTCTCTAAAAGAATGGATATGTATGCTGCTGAACGTCTGTAACCAGTTGGATTTCATAAAAAAATAAATTAATACTTTTATTCGTAGGAATTAAGCTGAATAAAAGAGACAGCAGAAACTGTTGTGCTTAAAAATATTTTGATCTAAAATAACTGAAATGCTGTTTAATTAATTCATCTTAAGAAGCCTGACTGCTTTTATAATTATAATTGTAATATTTCACAATTTTCTTTCACTTTGTAATTTGCATTTCTATTAAACATTTGTATCCCAATTTGGGATTATTTCTAAATATAATAAAGTAATTTTCTAGCATTGAAATATAACATACATTCTAAAATATATTTTATTAGGGGTAAAATCATGCCAGAAATCTTTTTTTTTTACTTTTAAATATAATATAATATAATATAATATAATATAATATAATATAATATAATATAATATAATATAATATAATATAATATAATAATATTATATTAAAATATTAAATTAAAATATAATATAATATCACACAAGTAGCAGTGCGATGTGGTTGCATATTGGCACTGGTGGGAGGCGTCCGTTTGTATCTCACCAGTGACAATGTACAGCCACATTGCTACGAGTTTGATTTCACATTTATATGACAGTTAGACTGCATAATCGTGTGTAGAAAAAAGAAAATTAAACACGGAGAGTCTCAAAACCCTTTTGTAGGAGGAACTACTTTCTTCTGCCATTCATTCACATCTGCAGCTGATGTCCGAACAGCAGAAACTGTTGCTCATTCACAAACGTCACTTTTGAGTATTTGAATGATTTTCTAGTGTAATGTCTACAGTGATGACAAAACAGGTGATTTTGCTCACATTTTAATATTATAAGGCTGAACGGCATGAAATGCCATCAGTCTAAAGATTTCCCAGTACATCAACAAACAAAAAAGAGAGATCGACTTAGAAAGTCATTTACCTGTTTAATAATAATTTGCTCAGATGTAGTTTGAAGTTATGCTGTTTTAGTCTTTTAAGGGCTTGTGATGCGGTCTCTGTCGCCATCTTGTGGATGAACATCGTCAACCATCTTTGTTCAAAGACAGCCTAAAGGCCGCCGACACGCTCCGTCAAAAAATATAAATATTTACAAATAGACACTATCCTTATAAATAAGCTGCATATTTGCAATCTAAACAACTACATTCTCAACTAAAAAAAAGCCTCAAAAGTACATTATGTTGCCCAACAGCAACAATATTTGTCAAACTGTAGTGTCTCTCTGCTTTTCACTGTATGTGGGCGGAAGGTTAAGAGGCTGGACAAGTGCTGTTATTGGCAGAATATTGCACGGCTATCAACCAATCAGATTCAAGAATCACACAGAACGTTGTATCAAATATAATATAATTTTTCTAGCATTACACAAACAAACAAACGAACAAACAAATCTGGAAAAAGTATGATAGAATATTTATTTTGTACCATTTTTAATTAAATCATAAAAATCTTTAAAAATACGTTAAAAAATCATTAAAAAAAATCTCCACAATAATAATATTGCAAAATATAACATTTAAATAAGAATATTTATTTTCATAATATTTGATTAGCTCAAATCTGCCCATTTTTAATGCCAGTCTATATTTATCTCAGAAAAACACAGTCATTTTCATTTTCATTTGAACCAATCTCAAGTTTATTATTCATCTACTTTATACAGAATCACATTATGAACACACATCAGGCCTTCCATACAAGCACAGCATTGTGCACTTTCAGTATTGTCCATTAAAATAATAAACCCAAGACTATTGTTTCAGCGTCAGTACTCCGGGAGAAGAAGGAATGCTGAATGCAAACCACACTGTCCTAAAGTCTTCAGGGGAGTAATGCTATCTCTTATCGAGGAAGGTTTAATGCACTTGGCCATCGGTCAGATAAACACACAGAACAGTCAACGGCTCTGTGGAAACAAGAGGATGAGGGAGTTTATTACGATCCATCTCCTTAATCCACACTGTGCAACAATTCTCCATATACAGAACATTTGCTCATCTGTGAAACAGCAGCCAGGAATATCTTCATCAGTACAGCCAATGAAAGAGAGAAAACCGAGGAATAGTTACATGTGTAACTCCAGCAAGAGCTTGATTAAGCAAGCGCAGATTCCAGAAAATACAATAGAAAAACAACAGAGGAAAAAAAAAAAGGCAATGATCGTCAACACAATTACAGGAATGTCTGGGTTTTTTCCTTAGTCTAAAGGAAATACTGTACGTGAGCAATGTATCACACAACAATGGAAATCTCTATGAGAAAAAATAAGTCTTAAACAGATCAACATGCCTGCATGTTACATTACGCCCTAACACACAACCTTTTCATTAGTTATGAACAACATAATAGATACATTTGCATATTAGCAACAATTTACATACACAATAAACAGGGCAAAAGCATTGGCACTGTTCAGGATCGCAAAGTGCTTGCAAGTTTTGAGAACAGCAAAAATAAATGTCATTAAATACGAAAGATTTACAGAATCTGATTAATTACTCAATATATTGACGTGTATTGAGTGCCTACACGGTAGTACTATTATTCTGATGGAGAAATTTTATAACAATTTTAATATATTAAACCTGTCAGTTGAGGTTAAGCTTGTACACATAACCTATGGTGCCTTAAAACTGGTTTATGTAAGCTATGTGACGTTTCCAGTTGAAAAAGTTCTGAAAAAGTATGCGATATTGCTGAATAAGGGCTCAGAAATCTCAAGAAATAAATCACTCAAAAATGAAAATTTGCGGTTAATTTACTCACAAACATGTAAGTAGAACATTCAGTAGAATTTTATTTTGTTTTTTGGATTCCTAAAACAAAGGTCAGTGGCTACTTCTGGCAATACATTATAAATAATGTTCCTTTTCTTGCACCGAAAACCTTTTGCATCATGAGTCAAGTAATTTATTTTGCCTGTATTATTTGTTTCTTTTTTACTCTCAAAGTGCCCGTAGAAATTGACTTGCATTTTTATCAATCACCAAAGATGACAGTTTCAGTTAACAGTTTTTTTTAAACATAGGTTTTTGAAGAAAGCTTGAAACCTGTAAACATTGATGTCCACAGTGTTTGTTTTTCCTATTAAAGTCAATGGTTTCCGGACAGGTTTCCTGCTTTCTTCAGTTGTCTTATTTTGTGTTTACAGAATAAAGAAATTCACCTCTTATAAAACCACTTGATGAAGAGTAAATAGTGAGTACATTTTCATTCAACTATCCCTTTTCTGAGATTTAGACTATCTCAGTATATTTTACCGAAGAAAAACATTCTCTTAAATAAATTGGTAACATTTTTTATTTTTTGATAAACTATTTCTTTCAAGTTCCATAAAACAGAAAATTGTTTCCATATTTAGATCCAAATAAATGTATATTCTTCAGAATGGTAGCAGTACTCTGCTTGATTTATTTTCGTTGCATCGAGACTACTAATATGTAGTCTTAAGTTAGTTACAGAATCTGACGTTTTCAATTTTCCCTGTTGTGGTTTATCCATCAGTAAAGGGCCACATAAAAGTGTTCCTCCCGGTTCCTCCTCAATATTTACGTATTCAGATGTTCCGTAACTCTCGCTACGGGAAGACATAAATCATAGGTGAGCAAAATGTCAGATCAAATAAAAACAGCCATGGAAAACTGGAATGTGTAATTCTGTAAAAAACCCACAGAGTTGAGAGGAACGCAAGAATAACATTCATCATTCACTGGCCTACGTGAGACCGTTCATGTTACACCAGATGAAAACAAAAATAAACAACACCACCTCCATGTAGAATGCAACTCTAAGTGCTTGTAACAGTGAGAAGATATCAGATTGGCTTGTCATTCTTCACTTGTAAATTTCTCCAGTAAGCTACTGATGCGGTTGGGGAATCGGCTCTGTTTGGAATATATCAGTAGGTTGTTGGTGCCCTCTATTGGTCTCATGCTGAATCGCTTCAGTCCCAGTGCATTTGATGTCGTAACGCACCTCTTTATACTTCTGTGGAGAACAGCATACTCTGACGTTTACTATCCGGAGTTGGGATGGCCTCCAGCTGAAGGAAGTACAGTAATACCTGGACCTACAGAGACAGAGATGGCGATGAAACACCTCAGACTAGCAGATTCAACCAGTACATAAGACGTTTTTTTTTTTTTTAAAGAGCTTTCAGACTTCTGAAGGCTTGTTGCACAAAATAAGTTGAACAAACTCAGGGTTGCAGAGTAAGCTTTGGGTTGACAAAACCAAAAATATTCAGCCTGGTTAAGATCAGGTTAGATAGTTTGATAGGAATGCTTGATATAAACTTTCTCAAGTTTTAGCCCAGAAAGTGTGACAAGTGCAGCAAACAGACAAAACCACGAAACATGAGAGAGTCAGCAGTTCACTTTTCTGGTGAAGAAATATCATTATCAGATACCCTTGTCACAAATATAATGAAATATAAGGAATTATGTTTATGCAAATCAATAAACTGATCTTAAGCAGCTAAAAACAGCTTAAAAGTATATATTAAAGCAAATTTAGAAAAAAGTAAACTCTATAACTTATGTTAATTGATAATTAAATTTTTTAAACATATAATATAATAACAAAATAAGCTTTACATGAATTTGGACTCAAAATGATTTTACTAAGGCTTTAATTTGGAGCAAAACATATTTTGGCATTGAGTATATAGCTTTATTTCAGCATATACTGTATATGTCATATTTTAACAGATGATTGGTCCAGTTGGGTATCTGATCTCTGAGCCAAAATAAAACTTGCAGGTTTGCCTTGTAGTGTAGAGCCAATCCAACCCATCTTATTGAGCCCTAAAACTTGCTTTGTGCAACAACAGGTCTGTAAAAGTATAAAGTTCTGCTATGTTTGCTCTCAGAATCCAGAAGTTCTGAGTTTCCGGTAAGAACTTTTAATCTAGTGCTGCCTGAAGTCAGAATTTCCACTGGAGGAAACAGCAATATAAACAGTCCGCTGTAAAACTATTTGTTAATTAACAGTTGTCCGTAGCTCATGATGCAGGGGGTGTTTTCTGTTTATTTACAGTATGTTCTCAAATTGCATTATGGAACCTTGATCTTTGCTCCATCAGCATTTGAAAATGTTTAAACTACTGTTAACAGTGACTTTGTTTACATTATTAGTATTCTGAAACAATATAGTAACATATATAGAAATAAATCTGTAAAAATAATGGAAAAATTACTCAAAACCCAATTTTTGTAGTGTAATTTACATGACCAACACTGAAAATATAGTGATTCAAACTTCTAAAAGACAAACACTATTCACTTTGTTAAACATTTCTTCATCAAAAGTAGTTCCAGTCAAGATTTCATTTAACAAATCAATAGCATAAAAACAGAAAACATCTGGAGCACAGAATAAAGCTCAAATTCGAGTACTCTGGAGTTACACAGTGTAAGTGTGTTACCTGAGACATAACCTCAAGAGACCAGCTGTCACTCATAGAGATGGGCTGCGTGGGATTGCTTGGTATTTTACTGTCCTTCTCAGAGGGGCGGAGAAGGGTCGGGCCGAACACTGTAGCCAGATTGTGGAAGGACATCTTGTTGACAATCTCGTTCTCAGCCACCCTGAAGACAAAAGAAAGAGCATTTGAATCAACATGTAGGCAAGAAAAATAAAATATGAAAAAAGTAAATAACATTGGCTTAAAAATTGATCACAAAATGTGACATTGTGTGAAAAACATTTAAGTAAACTTGAAATAAATCATTCACATGGTTTCATATATTATAGTTTATATTTGATGTTTTCACCATGAAACATTTCAAATTTGAAACATTTAATTTTTTAATGAACATTGCATTATTTATAATAAACGGAATTATTTCTGAATACCATTATTATTATTATTTTTAAGTGTCCTCAATATTTAAAAAATACTTCCCCTCTCTCTTTTACCAACATCTCTGATTACATGTTTACTGGCACAGAGACAGGGTTGATTTGTCAATTATATGACATCCACCAATAGCAACTAACAATGATCCAATCATTTTTTAATGGCAAAAATAAAAAGACATCCCACTTAATTTCCTGTTTGTGAAGCTGTTTTATCATGAAACATGACACAATAGGGAAGAAATAAATTTTCGACTTCCATTCGATGCTGACTTCCACCTTTTGGAGCCATTTCTTTCTTTTATTATTATTATTATGTTTGGATTAAATAGGTTAATTGGATGGTATGATTATTATTATTATTGTTAAGGTTACATTTGATAATTATTGTGTTCAGGTCTGAGTATTTGCTTTGTATACTATTCATGTTTGAATATTTGCTTTATTGTATTATGTGGTTGGTTGAGATTATTTTATTCTTTTGACAGCTCTTTGCCTAAAGATTTTCTTTTTTCTTTTGATGAAATGTTTTACGTCATGTTTAGGTCCAATCTGCATATTTTCACTTGTTATTGACATGAACTCATAGAACTATACTGTACCTCTTCAGATGGTCCAGCAGAAACAGGAAGGTCAGCAGGTTGGGTTCAGGAAGGGAGAGCAACAAGTTGAGCATGCAGCTTTCCTTTGCCACGCTGTCTGACAAAGCTGAAGGAAATGAAAAACACAAGAATAAATGATCAACACAAATGGGTTTAAATAAACAGTTTTTCATCAGATCTTGAAAAACAGTCCACTGACCGATGCCTTCAGTGAAGTTAATGTAGAGTTCATCAGTGAAGAGGGGCTCGGGAAGCTCCCTGAAATAAAGCTTCAGTGTTCCAGCAATGGCATTCACGTCCATCTCACTCATAATAACTGAAACATCTTTGTTGTCTGTGAAATCATAAGAACACTTATTTTTAGCATTACAGAATATTCAGTGATGACCAAAGTTAGAGAACAACCTTGAATTTCTTAGATTTTGTGGCCGCTGCTATTATAGTCTTATTTGAAGTTGTGCTATTAGGAGCAAAAGAGCAGTTTTTAAGCATATTTCATGCATTATATCTATTCTGAAATACAGCATAAACATTACTCGGTGAGATATTTAAAAAAGAACGCTGATTAAAAATAGAGGCTGTGTCCAAAATCGCCTACTACTCAGTAGGTACTGCATTTGAATTAAAATGTACTACTCGGATGGTTGGGTTTAGGGTTGTGGTGGGAGCAGGCGCTAAAAAATACAGTTTATTGGGTAATTTAATAGATATCATAAATAATACTCGGTACAGCTACTGTTTTTACGTTACTGTGACGGCTGGGTTTAGGGTTGGGGTGGGTGTAGACGTTAATAAAATACAATAAATGGGAAATTTAATAAATAATAGAAACAACCCTGTTCTTTGAATTCTATGAATTAGGACATACTACTCTACTCGCATACTGTTTTTAGTGTACTTTATAGTGTGGAAGTATGCGTTTACAGACGCAGCTCGTAGACGCTTTCAGATTCATCACACAGTTATGGCTGGTAATCTGCACCTAGTGGTCATTTCCTTAATTAACCAACAAATCCTATTTAAAGGAATAGTTCACTCAAAAATTAAAATAATCCCATAATTTACTCACACAGTCAGAATAATTTTAAATATTATCATGGCTCCTTCATGCTGAATAATGGTGTTGGGGTAGTGGCCCTTTTATAAAGCTTCCAAAAGCGTATAAATCCATCATAAATAAAACCTATATGCAGTCAGGGGGTTAATGTATGTCTTTTGAAGAGAATTTATGTGTTTTTTGGAACAAAATATTTCTAATATTTAAAATATTTTTAAATTATCAACTCAAACCACTAACTTCTTGCTTTTACCCTAACCCTTATTGTATAAAGTACAGTTATCCTCATCCATCAACTCTCACACGAGCTTCCCATATGAGTCATACGTCGAGTCAGAGGTCAGCCAAGAAGTTGTCTAGAACATGCATTTGGCAGCCTCCAGAAGTCAGTGGCACATGGGCTAAGTTAAAAAAAAATGGCCACAACCAAACATCAATATAAATTGAAGAACCAGCTTAAATTAAAACTACTCCAAAGGAATTTGTCTGAAATAAGAAAGTCATATGTACTAATAATGAAAAAAACTTTTTTATTATTAAGGTTATTTAAATGTAATTTGATTATAATCAACCATATATAAATAATATACAATGTCAAAATATAAAATGAAGACAATACCCAATTTAAACTTTGGCACTGGTGACTTTGAAGAATGTAATGAGCTCATTTAAACAACTTCTTAAAAACTATCAGTAGTTTTGATGTGTAAATTCCCCTTTTCTCTATATCTGTCAGCAAGCATATAGTCTCTATAGGAGTTTCCTGAGCTCGCTGATGCCTCCAATAGAGATAAGATAAAAAGACTGCGCAATCAGCTGAAATGTTAGTGAGCTTCATTTGCATGTAAATAAGATGGGTGATATATATTGCATCATGTCCATGTATTGCACAATAAGTCAATATATTGAGTATTGCATAAGACCTACATAAGATACAGAAATAAATATACAATATAATCTGATGTTTATTGTTGTAAAAAATCCTACTCACTGGCATCAAATGCAGCTTTCAGGGCCTGGATGTCTGTGGCCACACCAGAGACCCGATAGATGCCCACTTCCTCCATCCCTCTGCGCTCGATCTCCTCCACACACTGTCTCACAATCAGAGGCACTTTGGAGTGTTCGCGTCTGAACAAACACACACACACACACACACAGGAATATACATTTCAGCTGATCTGTGCTTATTTTTTCAGGATTAAAGCTGTAAATTCCATGACCACAGAGGATTATGGGGAAATGCTATACTGTATATATAACAGAAGCTTTCCGCTAAATGTATTTCCTATGGAAAAGGGAAAAAAAAGGTGTTTGCTATCATTTAAGGAAATCTTTTCCTGGCACATTTCTGGGGCGTTCAAAGAAACAGCATATTCTGAGAGCTTGTTTATTTATTCACCAGGACTTTGCGGTATTAACATTCTCACAGCCTATATTTAAACTCACATCAGCATTATACTGACGCAGCACTCCAATATCCACAAAATCAACACCATAATGAGACCACCTGAGAAAATGAACATTTTGCGCAGCGTAAATCCCTCCCAAAACTGTCAGATTTTAAGAAAACAACAACTGTTATTACAGGGCAATATTTCGCCCATATGCGTTTCTGTTAAACTCTTAAAAATTCATATCTGAGGGTCTAATTCCTACATCCACATTTCTGTTTTTATTTCAGTCCTTTGAGGGAAGCCTTTTGCAAAACCCTTTTGCCTTTAATAATAATTCCTTCCTGTTTGTCAGGAAGTCCATAATGGGGTTTCTCTCTGTTTTCCTTTCTGCTTTGAACTGACGGAGGCCATTATTAAAAGGAAGTTTCCCCTCCTTCTCTTTTATGAGCCCTCGTTTGAGTCATGTGGGTCTATGAAAACACAGGCTCCCTGTGTCCTCTAAATTATGGGAAACATGGCTGACATCTGACTGCTGTTGTTTTTGGAGTGAGTGGGAAGAATTTTTTACTCAATCACCACTGACTGTTACAATGCAACATACGTTTATGAATCCTTAAAGGCACACTCACTAGTTTAATTGATAGTCGTGTTAAGACTTACAATGACATTTGTTGGTATAAATACAACATTACTTTAAAACAGGTTCCATCATTTAAGTATATAAAAATAGGAGGTTACAGAGTAAAAATATGTAGTTTTCGGCAGGACATGTAATCTCAACATACTTATGTGACTCAAAAAGTCTATGAGTAGAATTTTTGTGGACGCATTTTAAAGTGGCCATTATGTTACTTGATGCTTGAATTAACCAGGAGACTGAAGTCTTCAGATCAGAATTCTTCGAACTATTAAAAAGTTATTTATTTGTCACCACTAAGAATTATTATCATTTTAAGTCGCTTTGGATAAAAGTGCCTGTTAAATGAATGTATATATTTATCAATTCTTATTTACTTACTTGTTCATTTTCGTGAGATATTTAAACAATACATGCAGAATGAACTATTTAAGGGTGCTTTCACACCTACACTTTTGTTTAGGAACCTGTCTCGTTTGCCCAGTTAGAGCTGTTCAGTTGGCATATGTGAATCCAGCAATCACGCTAGGATCCGCGCCAAATCAATCGCTCTGAGATTGCTTGAATGAGATGGCCTCGGCTCGATTGAAACGAATTCTGGAGCGGATCGATTGCAGTGAGAAATCGATATGATCTGAGCACGGTTATTTCACAGTGTTTTATGGATATGTAATAGGCATACAGCTATATGAAGAGAGAATTATGAGTAGGACGGGAAGTTTCGGGAGTCTCCCAGATGCTTTTTAAACAGGTTTTTACATGTGATGAAAATAAATAAATTTTTTGTGAGCTTATTATAACTGTTATCGCGTGTCATTCGTTCAGTTGTCTTAATAAATTTAAAGGTGACATTGTTTAAGATGTTCTTGTTATGAAAATCGACATAAAATGTATCACAGCCTGTCTTTGTCTAAGAAATTATTCATATTTCAATTTGAGCAAAAATCCACTTGCACTAGTACTGTGTATAGCGCATTTAAATCAGTCATATATGGATTGATCTGTAACTTTACTTACTTAGTGACGGCCCCGATTTTGACTCCAAACACTCCAGACTGTTTTCTGGAGGGCATCCGCTTCAGACTGAACTCTCTGCTGGTAAATCGCATAGACAGCTTGACCTCAATCTGGAAAGAGTGATGAATATGCACAAGTTTTTTTTTCCACAAAAACACTCACTGATGAGAACAAAACAGCTCTGTACTCAATCTCACCTATCAAATAATCAAGAATTAAATCAATGTAAGCTTCGTCCATCAGCTTAATATCAAGCCACATGATTTTAATCCATCGGTGTGCTTCATATTATGGGAGACAAATAATTGTTAACTATTGATTGGAGGATGTTAATGGATTCATGTACTGATGGAGGTATATGACATATTTTAAGAACTTGATGTCTATATTTTCCCACCTGATATGTCACTTTTATATATTTTAAACGATCATAAATATTTTCACATTATTATGAAAGACTAATTTAATAAATATGCTAAATTTATTAGTCTTGGAAAATAAATGTATTACTGTCTACACAAAAAATATGAACCAGCACAACTGTTTTCAATTGATAATCCGGCTATATTCCTAAGCACCAAATGAATAGGTTATTTTTTTTTCAAGTCAAGTCAACTTTATTGTCAATCAAACCATGCAACAGTACATTACACAGCAGACTGAAATTGCGTTTCTCCCATACTCCTTTTCACCTTTACTAAAGGATTATGTCGCACTGAAGACTGTGATAATTATGCTTAAAATGGACAAATAATTATAGTTTAAGATATATCCAAATAGAAAACACCTATTTTGAATTATAGTACCAGAGTACGCCTGCTATTTTTGATGAAACAAATAAAAGCTTAGGTTTAAAACAAACCCTATAAATACATGAATTCATTCATGCATAAATATTTTTCAAACATTTCTACAAGCAAGTACATGAGCACATAAATATCTGGACAGAAAATAGTGTCATTTAGTTTAGTTATTATTTTGACAGACTACATCTTTTAAAACATAGACAGCTTTAGGAAAAGAAATACCTACAAATCTTAAATATCTTACACAACTCGAAAAAATATCATACATGTACAGGTACCTACATGTTAGGGGTGTGTATTTATCATCGCAATCTCATGGCAGTTCATAACTGTTTGATTTATTTTGATAATTTGATAATTGTTAATAAATAAACTGTTTGATAATTGTATGATCTAATTCGCACAATTTAGTATGATAGTTTTAAAATCGTAAATTTTTATACAACCAAACTCATACGAATTAGCCACTTAACTGACAAAACGTAAAATACTGATCTTTTCTCGATAGATCAGGCTGGTATTTATAGTCTAAGACAATATCATTATTGTCTTATTTAACAAAAAACAAAAGAAGATATTTTGAAGAATGTTGGAAACAACAGCCATTGACTTCTACCATGAGATATGTAGTCAATGGTTACTTGCTTCTAGCATTCTCCAAAATATATATTTTTTGTGTTCAACAGAAAAAAGGAAACCCATAAATGTCTGAAACTACTTGAGGCTGAATAAATAATTTTCATTTTTTTGGCTGAACTATCCCTTTAATATAATTATTGCTCCATGACAGTCCTAAACCAGCCAAAATACCAGCACACCATCCTAATTGAATGTAAATGGCCTTTTGAACATTAACGTGATTGCTCCTATTATTAGTAAATGTGTTATTATTGTGCAGGATGAGCCACACTGACCCCATTCATGCTGATTACTGTCCTCTGCCAGTCTTTACCCTGCAGCGACTGCGGATCCAGCTGTGAAAACAGGGACAAATGTCAATCAAGAGGATAATCCTTATCTGAGCGTGACCCAAACACACAGTCACCTGCTAAAAACGGCTTAGTCGACATGCTTGTTGGAAGCATCTACATTTCTCTCTCTCTCAAAAAAAAAAAGAGAAACAAACAAACAAACAAACAAAAAAATCAGAGCCAGAACATAAGATAGCCACCCATGCCATCTCAAATACTACTGTAAAGTGTATTACACTGTGCATACAGTTGAAGTCAGAATTATTAGCCGTCCTGGGTTATTAGCCCCCTGTATATTTAATTCCCCAATTTCTGTTTAATGAAGAGACTTTTTTCAACACACTTTACTTTAAGGAAGAAGTCTTTTAGGTCAATAAAATATTAATTTGTTGATTAGCATTTATTAAGATTGGGTTCGGTATTCAGTAGGATTAGGGATGTACAATAAGACCATACTTTATAAGTACTAAACATCTAATAACTTAATATAAAGCAAGTAGTAAGTCAGTAGTTAATAGTGGGAATTGGCGCTTTAACTAATAATAATAATTCATTTTATTTCAAGGCGCCTTTCTAGCAACTCAAGGACACCGTACAATCAAGAAGATCAATAAAACAACAAGAGAAAAAATAAAATATACACAGCAATAGTGCAGACAAAATTAAGTATTAAAAGCCATCTTAAATAAGTGGGTTTTGAGTTTTATTTTGAATAGTGTGAGGGAGTCGGTGTTTCTGACGGCAGGTGGTAGTGAGTTCCAAAGCCACGGAGCAGAGCGGTTAAATGCTCTGTTGTCCATATAGTGGAAAGACGAGAAGAGAACAGACAAGTGGAGGGAGGAAGAAGATTGCAGGGTGCAAGAAGGAATAGAAATGTGGATGAGGGCAGACAAAAATAGAGGGGCGAGATTGTGGATGGCTTTGAATGTTAACATCAAGATTTTTAAGTCAATTTGAAAATGAACATGTATCCAATGAAGCTGCTGCAGGACAGGGGTGATGTGACGAGAAGAAGGGGTTCTGGTGATGATACGGGCAGCTGAGTTCTGGACCAACTGAAGCTTACGGAGGGATTTATGAGTGAGACCAAAGAGAAGAGAGTTGCAGTAATCTAAATAAGATGTGACAATGCTATGAACGAGAACAGCAGTGGCATAAAGGGTAAGAGAAGGGCGGAGACGGTTAATGTTGCATGGTGAAGTAAGCAGACCAGGTGATGTTACTGATGTAAGAATCAAAAGATAGGGTGCTGTCAAGGATGACACGCAGACTCTTAACCTGTTTAGAGGGATAAATAGAGCAGTCGTCAATTGAAAGAGAAAAGCTGTCAGTTTTGGAGAGAGTTGTTTAAAAACCTCAGTTTTTGAACTATTTAGTTTGAAGAAGTTAAGAGAGAGCCAGGACTTGATTTCTGCTAAGCAGACTGTAAGGGAGGTGGAAAACAAGAAGAGGGTTCTCCACCTACATAGTTTTTAAACTATGTGACCACTGTAATAAATACTCAAGCACACTTAATTTTTACTAATTGTTTGCTAATGTGTAACAATACTAATTGTTACTTTACTTAAAAGTATAATCCATAGTTGTAAAAAAACTACAGTATTGGGTTGTTTCTTACTTCAATTGCATTACCAGCAAATATAGGATTACCACAACAGATTAATTCAAGTATTTTAGTAAAGTATGGATCAAATACACAAAATGAAATAAGTTAGTTTAACTTGTAAATTTTTTTAAGATTACTTTGACTTGAGAAAAGTTTTCGCCACTCATGAATAGATCATATTAAGCAGAACTCAAAACAAATGAGTCATGAATAAATTAATGATATTTTTCAATCAGTTTCCTCAAACAGTTTGCGTAAACTTATCGGATTTTGCAGTGTAGTATTTAATATTAATTACTATAATTTTTTCATGAAAGGACAGTGATTGAACAGTAGGGATCAATTTACAATACACTTTCAACTTTTACAAACAAAGGCAAAGATGCAGAACCTAATATTATGAATCAAACGTTTCCCTTCTACATGTCAATTTCTAGTTTTATGTCCAGCCACTTGTTGGTCTCAAACCAGTGATTGATTCGGTTGTAATATTGTAGTAATTCTATGCTGTCAGTTTCTATTTATTGTGGGCAGCTACGGGTGTTGTGAAAACATAATTTACCAGCTTGCAGCCAAAGAAAAGATCTGCATTGATTGGTTGGTTTAACTGGTGCCAAAAAATTATTTATCTCATTTAAGGCAACTGGTTCAGTAGAACACAGATGAATAACAGCAGCAATCAATATTAAAGGGATAGTTCACCCCAAGATGAAAATCCTGTCATTATTTACTCATCCACAACTTGTCCAGAACCTGTTTGAGTTTTGTTCTTCTTTTAAACACAAAGAAAGACATACTGAAGAATGTTTGGGGGAAAATCAGCCATTGATTTCTACAGCATTTTTGTTCCCCCAAATGACTGCATTTTTCTTCAGAATATCTTGTTTTTGTGTTCGACAGAAGATAGAAATTTGTAAAAGATTAGAACCAGCTGAGTTTGAAATTATCAGAAAATTTAATTTTTTTAATGAAGTATCCCTTTAATTCTGAACTGTGATGATCAGAAGAGATGTGCAGTAGAGAAGAGTCTTTGTTGTTTTAGGTAGGATGTGTCAAGGTAGAAACTCAGTATAATAAAGATAAAATAAATCAGAACTGGAAGCAAGCAATACAGTAGCCTACATAAACCCCATTACATTGCACAGCATAAACTGAATGTTTCCAAGTATTAAAACTCATTTGTACACTACTCCCAAAAGTTTATTGTCAGTAAGATATTCATGGAAAGAAATTATATGATTGATTAAATTACTACTATTTAGTGATAGTGAAGCTATTGTAATGTTACAAATTATTTCTACTTCAAAGTTAGTTTGAACCTTATATTCAAAGAACTTTAAAAAGAACGCAACATAAAATATTAGGCATTTCAACTGTTTTCAACATTGTTTCAGCATATTAGAATGATTTACAATAAAGAATGAAAAGTTCAAATTTGTTCACAAAGGAAAAAAATACTTTAAAATATCTCTTTAAATCTTTTTAAATTGTAGACATATATTATTATTTACTTTTACAATTTATTTATTATTTAAATACACTATTAATATTTAAATTTATATTATAGTGTTTTTATTAAACCAATATCTGATAACTACCCAAAACAAAATCAGAATCTAAAGAAATAAATAATTTGAATAACAGAAAGTACTGATAGCTTATTACCACAATATACCCAAATAATCTACCTAGTTCCAAATGACTAAAATATCCACAAATGTTACTCTGTTAAACCACAGAGTTAAACTGAACTTTTACAACATGCCATACACTATAAAACCCAAACGTTATCAAACGAAATGAGTGTAGTTAACTCAAAGTTGACTGAAAGTTAATTCTGCTCATTTGAAAAGAGTTTTGAACTCAGTGTTGAGGTAATGAGTTAATTAAATACCTCATTACTTCAACTTAAATGGAGTAAGTTCACAGTACTCATATCTAGTATTTTTTTTTACTTAAATGGTTTGTTGCAATCGGTTTACTAAAGCGGTTTGAGTTGCCTTAACTTATTGGGTTTTACAGTACTCAGTTAGTTTGAGTTATCTTCATTTATTTGATTTTACTGTGCTCAAATTGCTTAATTTGCAAATGGATTAAGTTCACACTACTCATTAGGATTAGTTTTTAAAGCTTAAATGGTCTGTTGCAATTGTTTTTCTCAAACGGTTTGAATTACTGGGTTTTACAGTGTAACAACATTTTTAAAAAGTAAATAAACAGAAGACACTCATGAAACATCAGTTACAGATAATTGCATAAAACTGTTAATCAACATATAAATTTTTTACAGTGTAAATAATAGCTCTCTACAAATATTGTTACAAAGATATTAGTGCTGGGCAAAAATTAACAGCATTTAATCACAACCAAAGTAAAAGTTTGTTTTGACATAATATATGTGTGCTATGTATATTTATGATGTATGTATAAATACACACATGCTTGCATATATTTGAGAAAATGTTTATTCAAATTCAGATATAAAATATATGAAACAAATGATACGTACATTTTAAAATATATGTAACAAAACTGTTTTGTATAGTTTTGTTTTTATGTGTGTGTGTTTCACATATACTTAATAAATCTATATAATACACACACATACTGTATATTATGTCAAAACTAACTTTTATTTTGGATGCGATTAATCTTTGCCCATCACAAAAGATATATAAAGAATTTAGAATTTTAAATTATACTTTAAGGCAACTTTACCCCTTGCTGCCCCCTGGAGGTCCACAATTTGCTACGCACCATTGTATTTCTTGCCTCATTTACATAGACATGACAATTCAAGCGTTATCAGACAATATTGCCATTACAACTTATATATTACCACCGCAAAACAAACAAGTCTCGATTCCTAACCAGCCAGCTTTACAATACCGCAGTTAATGACTTGAGCTTCTCTTACGCACACACACAAGGAGTTTACCTTCTGCCTGAGAAGTGTGTTTCGAACTCTACCCCAAAGTCGAGCCCCGGTGCTGGAAGACCTCCTGAGGCCAACATCCACCTCCACCTCCTCCTCCTCATCCTCCACCGAGCAGCTGCTATTCAACTCTTCCTTCATCAGTTTAGCGCTCGCAGCCTTCACCCTACCATCCTGCTCCTCAGCTGTCCGCGTCTGCTCTTTCTTACCCATTTCCCTCTAGAGTCTCTACTGTTGTTAACCTCTTCGTTTACAGAAGCTAATTCAGATCCTCCAGCACAGAGTCATCCTGCGTGTATGTGTGTGTTTGGAGGAACTGCTGCTGTCATGCTGAATCTATTGTTGTGAATGTGTTCTCTCATTTATTCTTGAGTACACGCACACACACACACAAACACACAAAGGCACGCACAGATGGAGTGCTGGGATTAACTAGTGAATCTCCACCCACAATGATGATTACAGGCCGTTGTGGCAGCTGACCGACCAACACTGTGTTCAAGATTGTTTCAATGTTTCCGTTCGTCGTTTTCTGGTTATCGGCAATGACTTGTGGCACTTTCGAAGTTTTTATGTTCTACAATGGCCTAATATTGGCACCCTTGGTAAATTTGATTGAAAAAAAATGGTTTAACTTTCTGACCTTTTGCTCAAAATATTAACAAACAACAACTCTGCTCTCATTGAGAACAAACAACTGCAAACACAGCACAGTTCTATAACTTATCAAATATGAAGAGTTCAGGTGCAAAAACAGTGCAGAGTCTGAAATCTTCTTCTCAAATGAGAATGTTTCTCAGCCTACCATGTTTTTATGTTCAGAAATTTCACTTTAAGAGGAATGAAAATAACTCATTCTTTTTTTTTACTAAAGTAAAAAGTACAAAAATGCTTGAAATGGCAGACATGGTAAAAGACTTTCCACATTTTCTTTGAAACTTTCGTTACAAGAACAAAAAAAAATAGTAAAAATGAATAAATAACAGAATAATGATAAATAAATATTGGAACTTAATAATAATAATAAAAACAACAGTAAAATAATTTATTCTTTGACATAAAAGTGAAACAACTGAGCCTACACACAGGAACCTAAAAACTGCTCATTTGAGATGGTACTTTCAGACGGAGGTTTTTGCATCTGAACTCTTCAAATATCTTTATTAAAAGGATAGTTTACCCACTAATGAAAATTTACTCACCCTTCACTTGATCAAAGTGTATTTGAGTTTATTTCCTCTATTAAACACACAAAAATAATTTGAAGAATGCTGGTAGCTGGCACCCATTGACTTCCATAATATATAGTTATATAACTATATATAACTAATATATAGTTCTTAGGGTTTAGGGTTTTCTTCACGAGTGAGGGAAGGCTGAAACGTGAGATTGACAGGCAGATTGGTGCAGCGGCAGCAGTAATGTGGTGGATGTACCAGTCCGTTGTGGTAAAGAAGGAGCTGAGCCGATAATCAAAGCTCTCGATTTACCGGTCAATCTATGTTCCTAATCTCACCAATGGTCATGAGCTTTGGGTCATGATTGAAAGGACAAAATCTCAGATACAAGCGGACGAAATGAGTTTCCTTCAAGGGGGGCAGGGCGTACTCTTATAGATATGGGGAGAAGCTCTGTCACCTGGGATAAGCTCGGAGTAGAACAGCTGCCCCTCGTCATCAAGACAGGTCAGCTGAGGTGGCTCGGCATCTGTTCTGGATGCCTCCTAGACGCCTACCTAGGGAGGTATTCCAGGGATGTTCCACCGGGAGGAGGCCTCGGGGAAGACCCAGGACACGCTGGAGGGACTATGTCTCTCTGCTGGCCTGGGAATGCCTCGGGATCCCCTCGGAGGTGTTGGAAGAAGTGTCTGGGGAGAGGGAAGTCTAGGGTTCTCTCCTAAGACTGCTGCCCCCGCTACCCGGCCCAAGATAAGAGGACGAAAATGAAATGAGATGAATATATATATTTTTCCTACTAAAGAAGTCGATGGGTTCCGGCAACCAGCATTCTTCAAAACATCTTCTATTGTGACTGTAAAACTCAGTTATCACAAGAAAATGCAAAAATATTGAAAATGTAAATTTCCACCATCAGGGCAATAATCAAGAAATCCCAGTAATCTGCAAGTGTTAGAATAATTCTGAAAGAGGACATGTGTGCATGTTGTTCAAATGCCACTTTCAGGATAATAGTTCCAGTGATCAAAAAAAAAAAAAACTCCTGGAAAATCAGTTGTAGGATTGGAGTTAATTTGATCTTAGGGACAGAAAGTCTCCAGAACTAAAATATGACATCCCCTACACCTGTGTTTCTCAACCACGCTCCTGGAGGACCACCAACACTGCATGTTTTGAATGTCTCCTTTGTCTGTCACACCCATTACAGGTCTTTCAGTCTTTGCAAATGAGCTGATGATCTAAATCAGGTGAGTTTAGTTAAAGAGACACAGAAAACATGCAGAGCTGGTGGTCCTCCAGGAACGTGGTTGAGAAACACTCCATTACACAGTCACAAACTCTTTCAATGGGCTTCAAGAAAAAAATCATCTCATCCCCCCAAAAACTCAAGCATCTTCAGTTATTTTTGCTAGTATTTTGAGCAAAAGATAAAAAGGTTAAACAAACAAGCAAAGCTCATATCTACTGTATCCCGGACATTTAAGACTAAACAAATGAGATCCGTCCAGCCACAAAGAGTGATTTTATACAGTTGTTGTGACAACAAAATGGTCATGTGAACAATCCAAGAGCTTTTTACTGGCTGATTGCAGACTCTGACTCCTCCTTTTTGTAATTTGGCACCTGCCCTGTTCAGGACTCTGTCAGCGTGTCCCAGTTTCTGTCCAAACAGCGGCTCTAATCCTCTCGCAGCTCAACACCTCAGCGTTTCTCTGGTCACTCCACCACACCAATGCATATGACAGGATTATCATCTACCTGAACAATTTAGCGGCTTTGTTCTGCTCACTGCATTAGGCATTAAAAAGGTAAATGCTTAGTCACTATGTGTAAGCAGATTATAGGCTACCTTGTTTTACCCCAGGACACATGAGTAATTGATGAAATTGTACATGAAAATGATTAGTGACTATTTCTGATGAATTCATTATTGATTACTATCCATTAATGCGTTGGGAAATTGTGTCTGTTTAAATTTGATATGTAATTACATGTAATATATATATTTTAAATATTTAGTTTCATTGTTTAATTAACTTTTTATATATTGCATTTTACCCAGGGATTTATGGCACAATTGATAACGAAAACAATCCATGATTACACAATTTTTTGATTAATTAACTTTTAACTTTAATACTTTAAAAATACTAAATAAAAAATATTTAAAAAAATTATAACATTTTAATTGAATTTAATTATTGAATTATTTAATTTAAATTAATCTTTCTGAATTAAAATATAAACAAAACACAATGAAGTTTTTTTTGTTTGTTTTTTTACTTTATTGTACCCTGGGATGTACGGTCTGACTTAATAAAAGTGATTACAAAAATGAATGTTAAAATTTCCTTATTATCAGCATACAATAGATTAATCTAAAGAGATGCGAGTTTATGTAAGTTGATATTAATATTTAATATGTCAGTTAAAATTTAACTTGTCAGTTATTAATAAAGTTAATTAATTAATAGTAATTATTTACATTTTGTTACAATTTGTTTTTTAATAAATGTGCAGCTCTACTCAAACACTAAAAACGTAGAGTTAAAGTAATTCTGATAAAGTCCAAACTGAAAAAGCCGTACCTGAATCTGCCCCTTGGCCATGACGCGATCCATGTTTTCGCCATCATCCCTGCACTGTTTGATTTTACTATAACACAGCAGTCTGAGGGTCTGCGAGCCCTCTAGCTCGATCTCAAACTCCTGTCAACACAAAATTCAACCTTCATTCAATCACAGCATTCAACCATCATTACATCCGCTTGCATATTTACAGCTGCACTTTTAGTGTCAATTAGTGGCACAAAGTGGAACTGCACCATACTGAGATAAACATTACTGTGTGTGTTTTTATTAACATTCATTGTAGACAACTGTGTGGTTGTGGGTGGTTTATATTTCTGACCTCGTTCCAGTTTGGCTCTGTAGTGTCTCTGTAAACACGAGTCTTTGCCTTGTTCACAAAGTAGCCAAACGAGTCCACCTCCAATGTACAGTACAGATCTGAGGTCAGGAAGAGAACAGACAACATTGTGGTTACATGTTAAATTTTGTACAAATATTACACTAAACACTTTTTCTAATTAAAACATATCCCATGATACATGTCATGAGCAATCACACGAGTAGCCGTGCGATGTGGCTGTCGGCACTGGTGGTGGGAGCTGTAGTTTGAAATTATGCTGTTTTCCTCTTAGGGCTTATTATGCGGTCTTTGTCGCCATCTTGTGGATGAACATCATCAACCGTCTTTGCTCAAAGACAGGGGCTGCGTCTGAAACCGCCTACTACTCAGTAGGTACTGCATTTGAATTTAAATGTACTACTCGCCCGTTAGAAAAGTACGTTCTATACAGTATGAATGTGAAAAGTATGAATGGAATTCGGACGTACTACATCCGCCATTTTGTCATGGTCACGTGACCTACCTGCGTCAATTGCGTCGCTTCACTTCCATTCATGAATTCTCTCGCGGGGCATTATGCGATAGCGCAGCGTGCATGGGATGGGCACAACAGAATCTCATCGGAAGTAGTAAGTCATCCGGGTACTTCTCGCATACTGATTTTTGAATTCTATGAATTCGGACATACTACTCGGCTCGCATACTGATTTTAGCGTACTATATAGTATGGAAGTATGCGGTTTCGGACGCAGTCAGGCTCTCAGAAATTATAAATATTTCAAAATAGGCACTATCCTACATTCTCAACTAAAAAGCCTCAAAAGTACATGTTGACCAACAGCTGCAATATTTGTCAAACTGTAGTGTCCTCTGCTTGTCGCTGTATGTGGGTGGAGTAATACACAAAGGTGATGGGTTAAGAGGCTGGACGAGTGATGTTACTGGCAGAATATCGCACCGCAATCAGCCAATCAGATTCAAGAACCACACAGAACTATTGAGTAATCTTGGATATAGACCTTTTTCTTGGCTGCTACATGGAGGGCGCCATAGCGACCAGCGTTTGCCAGTAGAATGGTTAGGTAATTTGCACTCTGTTCAATAGCGTTTTTAATGGTTTACAGAGTGTTTTTGTGACACTCAACTTAGAAAGGTGAATATTATAGCCGTTATAGTCTGTCAGATGTGGTTCAAGCGCGAGAGAAAAACTTTCTCCTAGTTCCTGTGTCTGCCGTCAGAAATACAGTATGTGTGTATGTTTCTCTGGCCTGTCAGCTGTTAGCTCAGCGGCTCTTCAACAAACACAGGTACTCAAGCAATGCAATTTACAAAAATGACCAATAAAAGTCTGTTATTGATACTTTGCTAGCTGCTTTGCTGTTCATACTAATCACTAGCCATTTGTGTTTTATTTAGTGTGCTTTTACCACAGTTTGTGTTTTTCTGTCATTTCAAATTGACACTAGCCTTTATTTTCACTTTGTCACAGTTATTAAATCAGTGTGTCAGTGGCACAGTACAGGCTATGTGTGTGTCAAACATTTTGGTGAACTACATTTGTTTGGGTTGGTTGGTTATATACTTGAAAGAAAGAGAAACTTTCAAATATGTTTTACGCAGTGAATGCCCTTCCAGCCACAAATCCTACTGCAAAACACCCATACACTCCCACATTCACACACACACATAAGTTCATCCAATTCTCCTATACCGCATGTCTTTGGACTGTGGGGGAAACCAGAGCACCCAGAGGAAACCTACACGAACATAGGGAGAACATGCAAACTCCACACAGAAATACCAACCGACCCAGCTGGGACTCGAACCAGTAACCTTCTTGCTTTGAGGTGACAGTGCTAATTACTGAGCCATCATGCCACCTCTTAAAGAAAATGTTTATATTGGAATTGCATTAATAAATATAGTTTATTCCTGTGAGGTTAAAACTGAATATCATCACTCCTGATTTTAATGTTATTATTTTTAATTGTTTTAAATAACATTATTTATTGGTATAATTGATGAAAACGGTGAGCTGCTCGATGTTTTTATGGGAACTGTAATACATTTTTCAGTCCCTCCAGGATTTTTCAAGTCCAATGGTTCTTGAGACAAGATGAAATAAATTTAACAGGATGTTTTCATAGCAAAATACAATAATTGATAAGTTAATAAGTAAAGCAAATAAGCAAATAAATCATTTAGGAGCGTTTATGACTTTTGATCAATTTAATACATTAATAAAAACATCTTCACAAACTTTAAAAAAGCATTTTTTATAATCTAATTCTCAGAATTAAAAAATATTCCATCGTGTTATGCTGGAATATTTAACAAATATGAGTTTTAAATCATGCTTTTCTTACTTAGATTTTTTTTGTCTTGTTTCTAGTCCAAATATCTAAAAATGGATTAAGTCAAGAGCATTTTCGATATTTCTTAAATATTTTCTTCTTTTAAGAAATAATATGCTAAACTTGAGTGAATTTTTCCTTAAAACAAGCAAAAAATCTGCCACTGATTAGGTAAAATAATCTTATGCCAAAATGAAAAACAAGATTATTTTTCTTACCCTGTTGGCAGATTATTTTGTTTGTTTAAAAAAAAAACTCACTTCATTTATAATTTATTAAGCAAATTATAAATAATAATTATTTATTTAAACAATACAATATTTTTTGCTTGTCTAGAAAAATAACTTGTAGATATTTGCACTAGAAAAAAAAGACAAAAACTCTAAGTATGAAATCATTTTTGCAGTGATAAGAAGACACTTCGCTGTGGTAAATCACTATAACACAGCTAGCCTTTCATGTCTTCATTCTTTAATGAATGGCTGTACATGAAGCACTCATAACAATTAAATAATTAACATCAATTCTTTGATTCTTATAACATTGCATTGACACTACAGTACAGTATATAGTCAAATCCCTCAACTCTACTTTCCATTAAGGCAGATTTTATTGACGACAAAGACTATAAGAAGCAGAACTGATGAATGCACAAGAGAGAGAGATTGGAAATTAGCGATAGAGAGTTTAAGATGAAACAGAGCGTTCCTGTTAAGCTACCCGTCCCGCAGCAGCTCATTCAGAGGAACTCTGCCCAACAACAGCAGTGTTTTCATGCATGTGCGCACATATCAGACAGCCATTCAATAATTTAATGATTACCGTGAGCCGGATTTCATTCCATCTAATTGCAGCCACGGAAATAAAACACAGCCTAAAACTAGGTGAGACGTCCCATGCCAGACAACTTACTCAAGCTCTGTTTCAGTCCTGTTGCAGAATGAACAATCACATTCAGAAAGCCGCAAAGCCCCGTGGATTCATCGTCTGTGTGGAGGAAGAAAAGAAATTCAAGTACAATAATGCAGTGTAATAGTTTTAGTGTACATTTTTTGTTACACTTCACAAATTACTATGACAATTTTTTATATGACTTAATAAAATTTATAAAAATGACTAATACTAAAAATATTGACTTTAATAAAAAAAAATAAACAAAAACAAAGTAAAGCCAAACTAAACAAAACAAAATGAAACTTAAAAAAAAAAAAAACTAAACTCACCATGTTTATTGACTGTCAGGAAACAAAACAAAACAAAAAACTCACCATCTTTATTGACTTTCAGAGAACAAAACACAAATCAAAACAAAAAAAAAAACAAACAAAAAACAAAACAAACAAACACTCACCATCTTTATTAACTGTCAGAGGGTAAAACAAAGCAAAGCAAAACAAAAAAACTAAACACGCACCATCTTTATTGACTGTCAGAGGAATGCTGTGAACTGTCTGTAGCTTCACGCAAGAGTTTGTGAGCATCTGCAACTCCAGAGAAGTCAAAGAAAAACTCTTGAAACCTGAAACAAATACAAGCGACTTAGTCATTAGAGCCAGCTGTATCTGCTTTTAACTAGAAATAAGTGACTGTAAAGAAAGTTAGGAAGATTTTGCGAGGAACATCTTGTAAGTGCTTACATTTTTTCTGCTGCTCCCGAATGACTTCTCTCCATTCTTCTCGTTCATAGTCAGATGAAATCAGGAATGTATAACCCTGAAATAAAGATATAAAACACAAGAAGGGCACAAGAGATTAGAACTTTTGAAAACAGCTTACTTACATATCTAAATTCATGTTACATTTGCATCTTTTGACAATGTACTGAGCTTTTCCCAGGACTTATGAAGGACAACCTAAGCATTTAAAACCAATAAATGATTTAATAAGTAATTTGAAGGTAACACAAACACCCACTATGTTTTTTAAACATTGTATTAGCAACACATTAAAAGTTTAAAGAAAAAAACAACAACCCTGTACTTTGTTCTCATGACTTTTTAAATAATTTTACCCCCAAAAAAACGCTTAAGCTTTGAATAAGGTTTGAATAATGCTGTGCTTCCTCTTTATTATTATTTATAAATTATTTATAACATTAAGCTAGTTCATGATTAAAACAAGCTAATTTCTCCTAACAGGCCATAAGAAACTACATAATTTAATTTAAAATCTACTTTAAATTTCTTCATTTTCCCCATCAATTAAATGTATCCTAATCGAATGACATTTAGATATTTGTATTGGACCAAGAAATACTGCAGAATTAATATTATTTCCTCATTTATTGCCACTCCCTAAAATGAACAGAAACTAAAGATACATCTGATGCTCTGATAATGTTCTGTAATGCTTTAAACTGTGGATTTAAATGTTTTTAAGATCCGCAAAACCCAAAATATGAAGTAGAATTTTGATATTAGCTACGTACCGGTCATCTGGTGTAAGAAAATTATGAAAACAGGCAGCTCATAAATGTTTAGAATAACAAAATTAAAAGTGTAAACTATGTCAGAATTATTTATTTAAGGTAAACTACTGTATCTCGAAAGTCTCAAAGTTTTCTCCTAGCAAATATCCTTTTAGCAAACACGCAGTTTGAGAAGATTTTGTGCTACTGAAAAGAAAGAAAAAAGTAAACAAAAAATAACCTAAACTTGTCTTAGCGTTTACAAACACCAACTCTCTGATGATTTAAAGTGCTTCTTTAATCCTCACTTGTAAGTTGTTTTGGATAAAAGCGTCTGCTCAATGAGTAAATGTAATTTGTAAATGATTCACCTTGCCGTTCCTGTTACTGACTCTGAAGGCCATGCAGGGAGACATAAGGAGAAGCAGCGATTCCTGTTCGCACAGTTTCTTCCTGAGGCGATCCAGCACTTTTCCTCCTTTACACACTCTCTGAACACACAGAGAGACCAGATTGAAAACAGTCAACAAAAAGCTGATTTTTTGGCAGTAGAAGAGCATTTCTGATGATCTCATCCACCTTTTCCCGCTGGATCTCGTTTTTGATCTGAGAAATCTTGACCTTCAAAGCATCAATCTCCTCTTCTGGTATCTGTGGAATAGGCGAGGACTCAGACTCATCGATGGTCTGGAAGGTGACGTCCGCTAGCGGGATATACCACTTACAGTCATACTGCTGCCCCTTCCTGAACACACACACACACATACATAGACATCCAAATCAGCGGTCACATACATGACAATCAAGAGGAGATGGTAAAAAAGACAAACAACAATGATTCTATAGGAATGATAAATAAATCATGTCTTACCCTCCAGTTTGTTTCTTCAATTTAGCGCAGAGCAGAATGTCGGTAAAGAGGAAGACGTGTCGCAGTTTTCGTGCACCTTCTACTAACTCCACCATAAACTGGTCTCGAAGAAGCTGTCGATTCTTCAAAGACAAGAATAAGAAAGAAAGAAAGAGCATTATTGTTAGGTATGTTCACACATACAAGGAATTTGTTTACATGACAGAGCTCCTAAAGTGCAACAGAATTACAAAGACAGGACAAAAAAACAGATAATAAATATATTTAAAAATATAAGTAAGTAGTGAATGCAAATATACAAACTTACAAGTGTATGTGCAGATATATTACTATATACAACGTTATTTGTGCAACTGTTATGTGCAAATTGGCACGTAAAGTATGTTAAATAAGTGTGTATATGTGTATAAAAAGTGTATAGCAGGTAGATTAGGTGGTGTATGCGTCCAAATGTCCAGCAATTTGTCTCTAGTGAAACCATGTGACTCAAGACAGGACAAACTAACAAAAACTCAAAAAAGACTACAGAGCATGACACGGAGGCAACCATCGTTGTGGGCGCCATCATGACAACTCCCTTATGACAAAGTATTAAGAATAACACCGAAACTAATGGACCCTTTTCTGACAGCACTGTAAAAAGTGCTCGGTTCCACACAATCGATTTGTATTTGGAACAGCATAAAGGAATGATTTAACGTATTGTTTACAAATATAAGTGGATTGAACACAAAATGATTACAGTTTTTTTTTCAATCGCTGGCAAGTGCTTACCCATACTTCAGATGTTTTTTCTAAACTCCTAACACACACACATCTACAAAACACAATTGGCCAAATGGCTAATTTTCTTCTCAAAAATACATTTCGTTACAGTTTTTTACGATTGGCTCAAGCACAATTTTGAAATTAAGGCTCATTTTGTCAAAACACTTCACACAATTTCCACATCCACACACACAAACAGCAGCACACATTAGTTCTTTTGCTAAATTTAAACTGTACTGAACACACACACACTTTATTCAATATAAATTTGTTTGCTTCATTAACACACTGCTCAAATTGCATCAATCTTAAGCACTCCTTTCTAATTGACTAATACTGATATAATTTGCGTTTGATTTGTTTCAGAGGTATTGCTATAAAGTACATGAACATACTAAATTCTCTAAACAGTGATAGACTGATAGCTAAATATTGCCCAATCCTAACAAACCATACAACATGTCAAGCTTATTTATTCAGCTTTCTGGAGATGTATAATAAAAAAAATTATAATAAAAAAAAAAAAACAACATCACCCATCCCGCCTCCTTTTTACCAATCTTCCTCCCTTTCGTGCTTTCTCTTCCTGCGACATTGTCTTTCATATTTATTGAAGACTAATATTTATAGCTATACTACTGTAAACATATTTATTGACTAGTGAAGTTTACACCTATTGGTTTTTATTGTGGTTCCAGCTGAATGGTGTGCCTGCTGTGCACCAGTGTGCTTGCACACCTGATGGCTGTGTTCAGCCTTTGCTTTGAAATTGCAAGGTAATTCCATCATGAAACATTTCTGTGTCAAAAACATCCAAGTGTGTTTAGTGATTTGCAAATCACTGTGTGTAATGTTTAGCAAAAAGTATAAAGCTGACTATGTGCTTACAGTTGTGCAGATTTAGCCTTGTGTTTCGCTCCTTGAGTGTAAGGTTTTGCCGGTTGTGAGCAAAGTTTAATTGTAGTGTGTAAGCAATCGTAAAACAAAAAAACTGTAAATACCATGTATAATAACTCTTCATTTCAAAATAGAGCACATCTTTTTCTGCACACACCAACTTTACCAAAACACTGAAAATCTGACTCAAAATGAAAATATTCTGTCAAAGATTAACACTTGTTTTCCCTTCAACAGGTACATGCAGTCAATCAAAGTACAGCAGGTTTCAAAACACTGGCTATTGTTGACATTACATCATCTGTAGAGAATTCTGTTGCAATTTTACAGGTATTTGCATGCAAAACATGCAATGCACCATTTTGACAAAATGCCTTGGTTGGGAACTGTACTGTATGTCCACAGGTACAGTAAAGTTTCCATTCAAAAGCATTCCAGTAAAGAGTAAATAAGATTTTGTCCCTTTACTGTTAACTACAGGAGGTACAGTAAAAGCATGGTATGATAGAACAGAGCAAGTTTTACAGTACTGCTTCCAGTGAACAAAATATCCATGAAACGCACAAGAGCATTCTGAATAAAAAAAACATAAATAACATAAAAACATAAATCAGCGTTGTGTCAATTATTTAGTTGTTTGTTTATTATCAGCTGAGATATATTTCTGATATTGATATTGTTTTTGAATTGATATGATTGCAGAAGCAGATGTTTTTATACTGTATAAGGTAAGGAATATTGTTTTTGCTATTATGGGATGTTGTGTGTTATTTTGTTGGGTGGTATAGCTTGTCTTTTCAGAAAATATAAGCAGTGTGGAAATGTGTTCACTGACTGCATATCAGGTGAAAACAACATGGAATGTGTGAATGGTATGGCCACACTAATTGTGTTTAGAGTTTTGAAAATGTGTTTGAACAAACAAACAGCACCTATTAACATTTCCTCAAACCCATACTATATATATATATATATATATATATATATATATATATATATATATATATATATATATATATATATATATATATATATGCTGAAATAAAACAAACAAGCTACACTAAACACACAAAAAAACACTTAAATTAGTAACCACAGTCAAATAGGAATGGAAAATAATATTCTGACAACTCCAAAATTGTAATCATCCACGATGTTATATATATATATATATATTTTTATTTTTATTTTATTTTATTTTTTTTTTTTTGGACAAACAAAACTAATCTTGAACCATTTAGTTTCAGTTGTTCACCAATAGAGGGCGCTCGTGTATCGTTTGGCTGCCCTTCACAATCAGTGGCAGTCGCTGTTTTCCCTGAGGCTTGAGGTCATTTAAAGTAGGTGAGCAGGAGCAGCAGCCAATGAGAGACTCCGACTCATTCACTCAGATGGAGGCCTGACACACTTAAGAAATTGCGCTATTGTGGGTGAGTCACACGAGCTATTTTCATGATAATGACGGGAGCCTGAGGGGGTTTCAACCTCGGACAAGCAAGGCTAGATGGGATGAAAATAAAAAAAAGTGAGCAGGGTTGAGACTATTCAGCAATGACAAGACATAAAGATTATTCACAGTACGAATAATATAAAAACACATCCATATATAACTCTAGATGGACTGAAAACAATATTAAATAGATCCCTTTGTCTTCAACACAAACTGGTGCCGGTCAGTTTTCACCCAGTTTGGGTTAAAGAAAACAAAAAACACTCAAAAGTGTCTGTATGCTGTAAAACCCAACAGTTAACTTTATCAAATGAAAATAGTGTAGTTAACTTAAAATTGACTGAAAGTTAATTCTACTCATTTGAAAAGAGTTTTGAACTCAAGTGTTGAAGGTAATGAGTTAAATACGAAAATACATCACTACTTAAGTTATTAAATGAAGTTCACAGTACTCGTATAGATTAGTTTTTTTTAACTCAAATGGTTTGTTGCAATCAGTTGCCTCAAACAGTTTGAGTTGCCTTAACTTATTGGACTTTAAGGTACTCAGCTTGTTTGAGTTCTCTTCTTTCATCAGGCTTTACTGTTCTCAAATTGCTTCATTTACTATGGATTCAGTTCAAAGTACTCATTAAGATTAGTTTTTGAACTTAAATGGTTTGTAGCAATCAGTTTCCTCAAATGGTTTCAGTTACCTTTATTTTTTGGGGTTTTACAGTGTAAATTTTAATTTCTACACATATTTTCTATTTCTGTTCTCTCAAAAAGATTCTCCCTCTCTCTAGTAATCATAAATCTTCCCGTCTATTTGTTTATTTTTAGTTTTGAGTTTTATTCATATCTAAATTTTGAAGCATTTTATCAAAGGATATAGTCATGTAGTCATATTGTCATAAATGATTTGTCTGATTTTATTCTATTAAAAATTCAGTTTGCAGTATTTTAAAAGATATGGAGTGATACCCAAATCCCCCTTTTTGACTCTTAAGTCTAACATGCCAAAAAAAAAGCCCACTTTTTTTTGTTTAGATTTGTTGCCAGAAATGTAAACCAGCAAATTAGAGCCCCACATATAGCTAGCATGCATATCGGGCTTCAGGCCTGCTTTACAAAAAACTTTTTAAAAAGTTTAATGAGATCTAATGCGTGCGGTCCAGAAGCTCCAGTGATGCCTTGCGCATAGAGATTTCCAGCCACGCATAATGGAGAACATAAAGACAAAAATTGGCAATGGAGAACCTAAAACTATGATAAACACTAGAGGAAACGCAAACGTCTAGTCACCTTTTCAAATTGTGACAACTTTAAATGATGAGCCAACTGGCTATGCACAATGCACAACATTAATTTGAGTAAACCCACTGTGTGACACATACCGCTTGGATATCAATGTCATTTAAAAACAGAAACTTCTACTTAAAAAAAAAACAAAGAAAAACCTCCAAACATTTCTCTAAAGTATTCTGATAATACCAGACGAAAAAGCATCAACTTTCTATCAAATACAAATCTGGTCTATTTTAATGGCTGTAACAGCATGAGCTGTTTGGCGGAAAAAAAACGGCTTCGGGTCGGCCACAGGCCAAAAATTGATAAGCTGTTGGACAAGGGCAAGGCTTGGGCTTAGATTTAAGGCCCGTGCAGGGCTCTACAATAAATGTTAAAGAAAATAATAGCTCATTTTCAATTTTAAACACAAGATTTTGGAAAACTGTTTGCAATTCTTAATGTAATTAATGAAGTATGATATTAAATAAATTGTCTGCCCAGCTGTGTATAAATGTAGGGGTTTATATGTATATACAAGATATACAGTATGATTCCTACCAGACCTTCCCTCTCAGGTCATCCTTTTCAACTGGATGTGCATTTGCGCTCTTGAGTGACCGAATGAACTGTCTCTAATTGAAGGGTGTGTGACATATGTGAAAGACATCTGCTCTCTTCATGCCCTTAATGTCTGTCTCTCTCTTTGTGTGTGTGTGTGTGTGTGTGTGTGTGTGTGTAGATGCCTTCAAAACACTGTTTCTGACCTGTGACCTGGCCTCAGCGAGTGTGTGTTTACGCCTTATGTTTAAAGTTGGTTCGAGCTGATAGAGAGGCAACATGACTACAGTGTACCTATCTTCTGATGGCTTCGTCATGTCATAAAGCGTGAATCATCTTAGACTGGGTTCTTGAACATGACCATAGGTTCACTGTACTCAAATGGCCTCCACAGTCACCAGATCTCAATCCAATAGAGCCCCATTGGGATGTGGCCGACAAATCTGCAGCAACTGCGTGATGCTATCATGTCAATATGGAGCAAAATCTCTAAGGAATATTTCCAGTACCTTGTTGAATCCATGCCACGAAGGATTAAAGTAGTTCTGAGGGCAAAAGGGGGTCCAACCCAGAACTAGTAAGGTGTACCTAATAAAGTGACCGGTGAGCGTAACACAAATAAATGCATGGAACTATATGATCCCGACAAAAAAAAAAAAAAAAAAAAAAAAAATAGAATCACTTGATTTTTATAATTTAATTATAAATTTCTAGGCATCTTTCTGACAAAAAGACGGATAATGTCATTTTATATATATATATATATATATATATATATATATATATATATATATATAGCTATGGAAAAAAATAAGAGACTTGAAAATTGTCAGTTTTACAGGATTTGTTAGATATAGGTTTGAGTATAAAAGTAATATTTGTCTTACTCTTTAAATGTTTCATGAATTTTATTTACATTTTTTATTTGTTGTGATTTTAAATCAGGCATATTACACCAAACATAGATCCAATTACTCTTCTGAAATTAAAATTACATATTTGACAGTAATACAAACAGTGATTACGTATATTACATGAATATATATGTATAATATGTCAAAAAAGAATAGAATCAAATGCTTTACTAAAAATAAATAACAACATATTGTAAATTTAGCTCGAATTTTCAATTGGTCTCAATTTTTATTTGTATATACATATATTGTTTGAAGACAGAAAGCTTTCAACATTATATTATAAAATGAAACTTTTCCTTTTGTGTTCCATGAAAAAATAAATTCAGATACCATTAATAGTCATTAAAGTATATCGCAACTCAGTGGAGAAACAGATTTATCTTGGGCCTGGCGATGATAACTAGTAATGATGAATGCTAAAATAAAGTATTTTTATTAATACTATCACATATTCGTGTAATGATGTTTATCATCGATTTCCAGCAAAGCACTATATATTTTTTTTCATCAAAGCACAAATATTTACTGGAAATATGATTAAGTCAGCTGTATTGTTCCCCATCAGTTTATTTTGTCAGACATTTTTGTAATCATTCAAATAATAAACAATCGCTATCTCTGAACTCATTCTCTGAATTTTCTGTAATAAAAATGCTCACAAGACTACAATCAGAGAGTCACTTCCCACACGGTTTTCCAGTAATGTGCGAGGAAGTGTAGGATCAGGTCAGCTGACTCATGGTTCAGAGGGTTTGTGTTCATTCTGAAGCGGGGAAGGGTGTTGAGATACTTCTCGTTTCGCAAAAGTGACCTCTGATAATGGAGGAAGGGGAACAGGAAGGCGGGAGATGATTATATTGTTGACGGGACCCATGTGTTTTGTAACTAGAGTGAGCCAATGAATATTTCTGAAAATATTACTGATAATTGCAGAAGCTTGAGAGAGAGGATTTTCCTTCTGGCCTGGCCTGGGCTGGCTTTTTTACTCGAGTTGAAAGAAATGTTAACTGAAGTGTTAAAAACTACCTAAATAATTACAAAAACCCACAAACAAATGACTACAAGCTCGACTACAATTAAACTGACAACTGAAAAATCTGTTTACTTTTGGTATGGTTAACCAAAAATTAAAATTGGCCCATAATTTACTTATTCTCGAATGGTTCCAAACCTTCATGAGTTACATTCTTCTGTTCAACACAAAAGAAGACAATCTGAAGAAAGCTGAAAACCTGCAACCAACAACTCCCATATACGAAAAAACAAGAACTATAGAAGTCAATGGTTACAGGTTTACAAAGTTTATCTTAAATATCTTCTTTTGTGTTCAACAGAAAAAAAAAAAAACTCATACAAGATTGGAACAAGTAAGGGGTGAGTAAATTATGACATCTCAGTTTTAGTTGAATTATCCCTTTAATAACCTCATCTGCCTACATGTTGTTGATAAAATGCAGAGCTTGTGCAAACAAATCCATATTTGAACGATTCCATTAAGATCAAATAATAATAATAATAATATGAATAATTATAATAATTCCTTACATTTATATAGCACTTTTCTGGGCACTCAAAGCGCTTTACACATAGGAGGGAATCTTCTCATCCACCACCAGTGCGCAGTGCATTTACGTTACATGGACATCCAGTTATTTACCTTAATCTGAATAAGACAGTACTATAAATAAGATGTTTACATGAAGGGCTTTTTGAATGTTGCGCCACCAGGCTATCCACGTTTCATGCTATTTGACTGTATTCCATGCAGTTTCATGTAATTTTGGGTGTTTCATCTTTAATTTTTCGACTTTACCTTCAGTTCGGCAGTTTCACTTTCACTCATGAACATTTGATTCATGCCCCTGTGACAAACTGAGGTATTGGACACGAGTTTGGTAAGGGCTGGTGGAAGAGTTGTTTTAATTTAATTTAATTTAATACTGCACACTAAATGGAAAGAAAAGACTTCTTTACTGACAGCCGTGTGTGTGGATCTTTTTGCAAAACGTGGCAAAGAGTCTTACAAGACATCGATAATGTCACTAATATATGCAAACTTCACATGTCTTAATTCCATTTCTGTTTAGTTTAATGATGACTTTAGTCGGATTGAGGTAATCAAAAATCGCTGTTTACATGGTAAACTCTTAAACAGAGGCTGCGTCCGAAACCGCATACTTCCATACTATATAGTACGCTAAAATCAGTATGCGAGCCGAGTAGTATGTCCGAATTCATAGAATTCGAAAATCAGTAGGCGAGAAGTACCCGGATGACTTACTACTTCCGGCAAGATTCTGAAGTGTGCATCCCATGCATGCTGTGCTATCCCATAATGCCCCGTGAGAGTATTCATGAATGGGACTGAAGCAACGCAACTGACGCAGGTAGGTCACGTGACCATGACAAAATGGCGGATATAGTAAGTCCGAATTCCATTTATACTTTTCACATTCATACTGTATAGAACGTACTTTTCTAACGGCCGAGTAGCACGTTTAAATTTAAATGCAGTGCCTACTGAGTAGTAGGCGGTTTCGGACGCAGCCAGAGTATTGTCTTAACTGTATTAAAATCAGAGTATGTCCATGTAAACGTACTCAACGTTTGACTCAACCACACTGTCAGGGCTCTGCAAACTTGGCTTTGCGAAGCAGCAATTTTTGCATGTCCGTACATCAAAAGCAGGTATACTAGGCTCACGCTTATTGTCAGTGGAAGATGATTTAGTCACGTCAGGAATCCAACCACGGATTAGCATGTTGTCCTCACAGAAACAGGCTCAGTCATCACACTGAATCAGGCAAGCTATATAGTTATGGTTCAATTTAATTATTATGGGCACTTTAAATGCAGCAAGTAATGTGTGAATGATGTTTACACATGCATTATGAGGGCTGGTGGAGAGGTGCGAGTGAAATTTGACAAACTTGGTCGGCGTGTGTCCTAAAAGGTTGAAAACTAGGCTAGTATGGCTAGGAACTATACTATACTATACTACACTACACTACACTATACTATACTATACTATACATTCCAGCATAGGTTAATTCAATTCAAATATTATAAAAAAAACTTGGGCAATACCATGGCTGCAGCGGGTGCAATTATATTACGCAGTGCAGGACAGTTCCTTGATTATTACGCTGGAATGAGACTATCGTTCATAGCTATATTAGTCTAGAAAATATTAACTTTTCATGGTCAATATAATTACAGAAGTTGCAAGCCTTTTATATAGGAAGAAAATATATTTAATAGGAAAAATGTAGTCATTTTGAAGTGAAATGCTAATGGTCCAATCTGATTCAATGATTTATGCTAAGCTAAGCTAAAGGTGCTCTCGCCAGATCCAGAGATCGGCTCAGTGGACTTCTAAAATGAGGAAATGTTCAAAAAATGTGAGTACATACATTAGACAGTTTTTGATCTGGCTGGCACTGACCTCTCCTTTCTTCACTGTCATGGACTGACGGCGGGGTGTGATCTCTTCATTAATGCTGGAGAGAAAGTTCTGGGAAATGCGGAGGGCGTCCTGCAGCAGAGGGTAATCTGGATGACTGGATGGGGTGTGCTTCAGGAGGTCCTGGAATTGACAAAAACTTGATTTAGCCAATGGGAAATCCAAATGAAAAATGTTTAAGTGGTGATCAAATGCGCACTCTTTAAGTTTTACTCACATGGAGGACGAGTGTGCTGCGAGTGACCCGATCCACTGGTTTATACAGCAGCGCTGAGAACGACAAAACCAAACGAGTGATCAGAATACTAAACACAGATGTGGAAAAATGAATCATCTTAATCTCTTACTTTCCAGAGAGTGCTTGGCATTCTGGTCTTTGGCGCTCTTGACTTTCAGATTCTGAAGGTGAAACGGTAAACAAATACATAAATTTACCAAGATACCAGCTCTTGTTTTGACAAGCGCACAATGCAAGCGCTTAAAACTGACCTCTGAAATCTCAGCAAACTGAGAATTGGCTTGGCAACACTTTTCAGCCGTTTCCACTGCAATCTTATAGTTGTCCACAAAAGCTCTGTACACGCCAAGCTGGCTGGCCTGAGTGGGAAGATGAAACGACAGAAGAGAGAGTGAGGGAGAAGGTGTTTATAGATAAAAGTGAGCGCTGGAGGCGAATTACTCATGCATGCATGCTACGTCTGCTTGATTCTGCTTACTAAGGGGGAGCAAGCAGCCCTTCGTGGCCTGTTTTGGCACGGTTGACATGTTTCTGATATTCAAAGATAAGCAAATACTAGTCCGAGCCAGTAATAAGACAATAAAACTCATCATAAACTATGACAGTGATGTAGCTGGTTGATAAAAGGCTTTCAATATCCATTTAAAATATAAATTATGATAACTTTTTGTTTATCTGGTCACAATTTATATTGACACAGATGCAAAATAAAGTTCTTAACTAGTCTCTGAATATATTCATTCATTCATTCATTCATTCTGCTTAGTCCCTTTATTTATCAAGGGTTGCCACAGCAGAATGAACTGCAAACTATTCCAGCATATGTTTTACACAGTGGATGCCCTCCAGCTGCAACCAAGTACAGGGAAACATCCATACCAATGACTGTAAAAATATGGATGACGCAACAGCGCCTTTTCCCGTTAAACAAGAACTGCTGAAATTGAAGCCTGGGCATGCGCAGAAGGGACTACCAGGTGGAGCTAGAGGCGGAGCTGAGGAATCAAGCTTCCAACCAAACGCTTGTACATCAAATCAACCACGCCCCCTGAACTTCTCACTTGACCGCCCGTATCTGCACTATAACAAAGGCTCGCTAATATAAATATAAGCACTTGCATTTTAAAACATGTAATAATATATGATTTTAAAACTTTGTCATGTAAGCTGTTTTTAATCATTTAATAAAAGCAATAAATGTTGGACTGTGAAAATAAAAAATCTTTCAAACACTCTAGCCTAAGTTAGACTAAGCTATGAGCACAAAAAAAAAAAAATTCTCTCATAACGGTATTTATTATCTTCCTAGCGGTAGAAATATATGTAAAATATGGACAATAACATATAAACAACTCATGCATTTTTAGAAAGGTTTATTTTAACTAGCAATCAACAGGACTCAAATTATACACATATTCTAAATATCAATGGGATATTAATACATCCCATCCCTGCACTATATGAAATAATCCTTATTGATTTGTACAATAAACTTATCAGTATTAATACATCAACTGATATCTGTATGATATAGGCCTATCAGCTGCTGCAACAATGTTTGTATATTGTTTATCATTTTTTGCCTCCCTTTTCATTTGCTTTATTCCATGCCGTAATATCCAGCAAATAGGAATTTACCTTCATTTTGATGTTTAGTAGGTGTTTTCAAATAGAAATCCAACAGTAAATGGTGTATATAAATAATATAAGATTCACAGCACTATTGGTTATATCTACTTCTAGAACATTAATATTGTATAACAGCAAATTCAGTAGATTAACTTAATAACACGGCGAAACTCAAAATGTCAGAGACGTCCTTAAATCAAGTTCAAATAATGTTACAGGAGATGAATGTGGAGATCGGCTAACATTAGTTTTGTCTTCCTAATTATGATTTCAGACCCATAAAGAGAATTACTGCTAGATAACGATCACCTGTATTTTCCCCGTCATGGCTAGGCATGTATCAGCAAACTAATAATAAAGCTCGATAAAGCCCTCACTTTACCAAATAAACAGTGTTCCACCAGATCCTGTATGTCAGAAAGTATAGTTTACTGCTGAACTCATTTTAATCATGGTAAAACAACACAGAAATCTAATAATAACACTTCAATCTCCTCCCGAAGACTGTAGAATACACAAGACAGGTCACTCATATCTTATTGAATGGTTACAAGTGTAACAGTCAATATGGTGAATAAAGCCCCGCCTACTAGCATAGGAGCCAATCATTGATCGATATATGGTGAAAAAAGCCCGCCTTCTAGAACAGGAGCCAATTATTGATGCCTGTAGACTGATGATACTCTGGGGGCAGGGCTCGGACCAGACGTGAGTTTCTGTAGATTTTGTGAGATTTGGACGTTTAAAAATAAAACTAAAGAGACAGCTGAGTTTTATTGGTGATTCCTCAAATGAAATTCAATAGTAAGCTTGGCAAGTAATTTTGGAGAATTTGATGTTTCCACTTTCAGACAGAACGCCCAAGCATACTGCCCAAGAGGCGTTTCAAAGATGACCGCCAAGTGAAATGACTTGCCTTAAAGGGGCTTTGTCCGAAGCTCAGATGGTCAAGTTTGAGAAGCTGTCAATCACAATTGTCAATCCTGATGACAGTTTTATAGCAGTAAATTACTGGCTAAAACAAACTGTTTACAAAAATAAAGAACTGCACCTATTTCAGCTTGATAACAAGTGCCTTCATTGACCGGAACCATCTTTCAAGACATTTTATTGCAAGTGTGATAAATTTTTTTTATTTGGGCTCAAGTCTCGGTCATTAACACGGAGGAGGCGGGGTTTATGACTTGTACTGCAGCCAGCCCCCAAGGGGCGATCTAACGGCCGGGAGCATCTCTCAAAACCAGGCGTGTGCCACACTTGATCCATACATACTCATTCACACATACACTATGGCCAATTTAGCTTATTCAATTCACCTATAGCGCATGTCTTTGAACTGTGGGGGAAACCGGAGCACCCGGAGGAAACATGACACAGGGAGAACATGCTAACTCCACACAGAAATGCCAACTGACCCAGCCGAGGCTTGAACCAGTGACCTTACTGCTGTGAGGCAACAGTGCTAGCCACCGTGTCACCCCCATTTTTATTTAAAGTACATAATTTTATATGTGATAATTGAATTACTGTATTATTATTATACTTTGCTTATTGTATAATTGTAACAACAGGAACAACAAAACTAAATATTAAAGTAAATATATTAATCTAAAGCCATTTTGTGATTTGTGAAGAAAAACAAACAAACATAAACGATCAAGATAAATATAACTTAACAAAAAGTATTTCATATCACGCACAATGACTCTTCCCAGAGAGCTTCTGGAAAATTATATTGAGAGGATGAATGCACAATAAAACAAAGAAGAAGTGGCTTGGTGTAAACAAAGCTAAAATGTCCTTAAAATGAATGACCGTTTGTGTCATGAAGAAGAAAAAAAAACACCATTCAAAAGACAACAACTGTGAAATGGGCACAGATAACAAGCATTTTCCATGGCAACATCTCGAGTGCTGCCAACACTGGGCTAAATAAGAGAAGGACTTGTGATGGGGCTTGTCATGAGACAGAGGTTAAGCACTTCCTTCAACACAGCCATTATTCTGCAACTGGGGAAACGTGTGAGCCATCCAGAATATGACCATCATTACACGGTGATCAGAAAAAAGACGGATTACATCGTGCTGTTAACTCCGCTCACTGACAAAAGATGAATACTTGTTAAAGGAGTGAAAAGAACCATCTAAATGAAGAGAAGCCCTTTCCAAAGACTCTGCAGAGAGGGTTTTTTGAGGACACAGACCCAGTTTCATGGTAAAAAGACATTATGTTGTATTTGAGTTAAAAATATAAGATTGCATAGAAGGTAAGGGAACAAAAATATGGTGTAGTACTGTGAAATAAAAAAATGTCTTTTTAATAAGTTGTCCTTGTGCTGTTCATGCAGAACAAATGCCTCTTCTGATCTGGATCATTTTTATTGAGTCTAAAACAAAAAGCATAATCAGTGTATCCTGATTCAGGAATGAATGACTCTTATGATCCAGTTCATTTAAGTAAGTCAAAAACCTTTAACATAAGCAGTGTATTTTGATTAATAATAAACAAATGACTCTTCTGAACAGGTTTATTTTAGTAAGTCAAAAATATAAAAATGACCAGTGTATCCTGATTCATGAGTAAATGACAGTTGAGATCCAGTTCGTTAAAGTGAGTCAAAAACATACAACAAGATACATAAATGAATCACTCTTCTGAGCAGGTTTGATTAAGTGAATCAAAAATGTTTTGAAAATGATCAGTGTATCCTGATTCACAAACAAATGACTCTTATGATCCAGTTCATTTAAGTGAGTCAAAAAAATACAACACAATTCATGAGCAAATGACTTTTTTGGGCGGATTCAATTCAGATCCATATCATTTTAGAGAATCAACAAGTTCAACGTGACTATGAAGATTCACAAACAAATGACTCTTTTGAACAGGTTCATTTTAGTGAGTCAAAAACATAGAAAATGACCACCAGTGTATCCTGATTCATAAATAAATGACTCCTATTATCCAGTTCTTTATTTAATGTAATTATGTGTAATTATGTAATTATACTAAGAAATAAAGGTACAGGAGCTGTCACGGTGGCAGTACCTTTTCAAAAGATACATATTTGTCCCTAAAAAGTCCATAATGGTACCTCAAAATTACTTTTTAGGTACATTTGGGCACTAAAATGCACCTTTGAGGTACCACTGTGGACTCTTTGGGTACAAATATGTATCTTTTGAAAAGGTTCTGCCCCAGTAACAGCTCCTGTACCTTTATTTCTGAGAGTGTATGAAAACAAAAATCTCAGCCCATTTCTGGCCTAAGTGTGTTTGAGAAGTCGGGGTGAGTAAATGCTATGGCCTGAGAGTTGGCGGTCCAAAGGGAGAGGGTCAGGGAATGCCCAGCATTGAGTGGGTTTCCAGGGCAGACACATGCAGCCCTCCATGACATCATGCTTTCTGGGAAACGAAGCAGACACTGGACTCACTGTCCACACAAAACTCTGTGCGACTGTCTCACTGTGGGATTTCCTGTTTATTTACCCCTCTCTGTGTAAAACACACACCCACAAAAACACACACCCTGGACGAGAACTACGCCACTGCGAAAATACACACACACATTCACAAGGTAAACAGCATGGCATATTCTCTTAAATACTGACGCAATAGAATCACAGCTCAAACACATGTAAATGCACAAATATAAGGGAATAAGCTGCAAAAATGCTCAGTTCTACACGTCACTAATGCCTCAAATAATAACCACAGGTATTCAAAGCTA